ACCACCCTGGCCATAACACAATCTTTCAAAAGACTTTGAAAGGTCCTCCTTTTAAAAAGAATGAAAATTGCTAAGCGTGGTGTTTTTAATCCCAGCACGGCAAGTAGATTCTCTCGGCTTTCGAGGCCAGCCTGGTCTACAGAGTGAGTTCCAGGGAGACCCTGTCTCAAAAAGAAAAAAAAAAATAAAATAAATAAATAAATAAAATAAAATAAAGAATGAAAATTTAACCTACAACTTCACACAGGGAAGATCTTCTAGAGAACACTATGAACATCCCTTGAGGAGATTTTATTTAGAATCAGATTGGAAATCACTTACTTAGCTCATTAGATGTCAATCAAATGCTTTATGAGAATCAAGTGACAGTCATATCCACATAGTAGCTTCTTGAATATTTGATATTTTATCTGACCCAAATATTTTATGGACAAATATTCTGAATCTACATTTAAAATACTACATGAAGCCAGGTGTGGTGGCGCACGCCTTTAATCCCAGCACTCAGGAGGCAGAGGCAGGCAGATCTCTATAAGATCAAGGTCAGCTTTTTCTACATAGTAAGTTCTAGACCAACTGGGGCTACAGGGAGATCCTGTCTCAAAAAACAAAAACCCAAAACACCAAAACAAAACAAAAACCCAAAGCACTCTCAAGCAACTAGGAATAGGTGCAATAAGTGGCTGAACTGTAGTTGGAAAGTTAGGAGGGCATCAGTCTTCAATAATACTTTCATCTAATTCTGCCATTCCAGCTTGGTAATCTTTGGCATCTTTCTTAGGTTTAACTTCTTATTGGGAACATGTAAATAAAAAGTGCTCAATCTCTTGAATTGTAAAGGTTAAATATACAGTTTCAATATAACTTAACAATGATTAAGAAACAGGGACATAGCCGGCGTGTTGGTGCATGCCCTTAATCCCAGCACTTGGGGAAGCAGAGCCAGGCGGATCGCTCTGAGTTCCAGGCCACCTGGGGCTACAGGGAGACCCTGTCTCCAAAAAAAAAAAAAAAGACCAAAAAAAAGAAAACGAACAAAACCACTGTGATCTTGGTCAACTTTCTCTAAATGTGACTCTACTGCTCAGAATCAAAAAGAAGTAAAACCATCTAGGGAGACATGAAAAACACCTTAGGGCAGCAAACTGCTCTTCAGGCCACTACTCATCATCATCCAAGTCTGTCCTTTCCTACCTTCCAAACCCTCCCCTCTGGGGAAATCTGCTCCTATGTTTCAAAAAGAGCTAATCTTTAAGTATCAGTCCTTTCAATCTTCAAATCAAAGGTTTGATTCTATACATACATGTGAAAGATATCAGCTACATCCTTTAAAAATTTTTTTTATAGGGCTGGAGATGGCTCAGCGGTTAAAAGCACTGGCTGTTCTGGGGGACCTGGGTTCGGTTCCCAGCAAATGGCAGCTAACAATGGTCCTAACTCCAGTTTCAGGGTATCAGACACTGTCTTCCAACCTCTGAGGGCATTGCATGACACAGATACACTTATATACATGCAGGCAATACTCTCATATACATAAAATAAAAATAAATAAAATTTGCATTTTATGTGCATGAGTATTTTGCCTGTATGTAAGTGCAGTGCCCACAGAGGCCAGAAGAGGGCATGTGATCCCCTGGAACTGTCATGAGGGTGCTGGGAACTGAACCCAGGTCCACTGCAAGAGCAGCCAGTGCTCTTAACCACTGAGTCATCTCTCAAATCCCAAGTATGTCTTTGCATTAGTTTCTCACTGCTGTGACCAAAAAACAACTTAAGGTAGGAGCAGTTTTTTTTTTTTTTTTTTTTTTTTTTTTTTTGGTTTTTTTGAGACAGGGTCTCCCTGTAGCCCCAGCTGTCCTGGAACTCACTATGTAGACCAGGCTGGCCTTGAACTCACAGAGATTCACCTGCCTTTGCCTCCCAAGTGCTGGGATTAAAGGCGTGTGCCACCACGCCCAGCCGGTAGGAACAGTTTTTGCCTTACAGTTTGAGGTGAGATAGTCCATCATGGCACAAAAGGCAAAGTAGAGCAAAAGGTAGCTGATCACACTGCATCTAGTCAAGACACAGAAAGATGATTGCTGATGCTCAGCTGGCTTTCTTCTTTTTTTCTAAAATTCAAGTCTGGAACCCTGCCCCATTGGTCTTTCCTCCTTAATTAAAGCCCTCTGAGCTGGGCATGGTGGTGCAGGCCTTAAGTCCTAGCACTGGGGAGGAGAGGCAGGTAGGTGGATTCCTGTTTCCAGGCCTGGTCTATATAGCAGTTCCAGGCCAGCAGGGGCTACAGGGAGCCCCTGTCTCAAAAAGACCAAAAAAAAAAAAAAAAAAATTAAAGTTCTCTGGAAATGCCCTGACAGATACATTCAGAGGTTTGTCTCCCAGTTGATTCCAAATCCAGTCAAACTGATGATAAAGATTAATCATCATAAATCTATCTTTGGCAATATGATACCCAAACATACCATTTTAAATCAGCATTCTACTTGTGGTCCCTAAAAACTCAGGCTCATTTCATAATGCAAAATACATTTAATTCATCTGTAAGAGTCCCCCAAATCTTAACAGTTTTAATCCAAAGTCCAAAGTCTATTCTGAGACTCAAGGCTCCCAATCCCAGCCCCCCTCTCTCTTGGTTTTTTGAGACAGGGTCTCCTTGTAGCCCCAAATATCCTAGAACTTACTATGTAGACCAGGCTGGCCTGTATATCACAGAGATCTGCCTGCTTCTGCCGGGATTAAAGCCGTGAGCCACCATGTTCTACCTGAAGGTAATCATTACTCAACTATGAGCCCCTATTTTAAAAAAATAAATTACATATTTCTGATAGATAATGGCACAGTAAGAAAAATTTCCATTTGAAAAAAAGAGAAATAGGGGCTAGAGAGATGGCTCAGCACTGATTACGAGCACTGATTGCTCTTGTAGAGGACCTGGGTTCAATTCCCAGCATCCACATGGTGGCTATGAACTGTCCTGAACTCCAGTTCCAGGGGAATCTGAAGCTCTCTTCTAACTTCCATGGTACAACACAGGTGCACTCACACCTGCATGTAAATCACATTACATGCAGCTAATACACTCGTACACATAAAATAAAAATATTTTAAAAACTAAAAAAAGAAAGAAAGAAAAAAGAAATAGAGTCATAGAGTCATAGCAAGGAATCCTTTTGCTATGATCAAAAACCAACAGAGAAAAGACCAAATCCTGCAGCTCTAGTGGAATTGGGCTTACCCATCTCTCTACTGCTGCATCCTTGGCAGATTTTCCTTGGCAGATGTTATATGGTCCTGCCATCTCCAACATCCTGAGGTCCCCATTGCAACTCAGGCTTCATCCTCAAAGCTTTATGCAATCAATGGTCTCTCAAGATCTCTTTATGGAGAATCCAATCATTCCACAGGCTACTACTTTTTTTTTTTTTTTTTTTTTTTTTTTTTCTGAGACAGGGTCTTCCCTGTAGCCCCTGCTGACCTGGAACTTGCTATGTAGACCAAGTTGGCCTTGAACTCACAGAGATCTGCCATCCTCTGCCTCCTGAGTGCTGGAATTAAAAGTGTGCTCCCCCACGCCTAGCTGGCCTATAACCTTTGTAAAGCCAATATCACATGGATGCTGCTGCCAAGCTCTGCTGCCAGTTTGAGATATAGTCTGTCTCTCATTTACCACAGCTACAGAAGCTTCTGTAATACTTTGCCAAGTAAACCTGGGAAAATTCTTCTCAAGTTGGTTTTTTGAGGAAAGAACCCCTTTAGTAACATTCTTAGTTCAGGCTTTCTCAAATGAATTTTTATTTTCACAACCTGGAGCCTTTGGTAGATGAGGTCTTGCTTTCAGGGCACTTTTCATATCGACCCTATGTAGAGAGCTCAAGGCTTCTTAATGGCATTCATCTCTTCAAGAATTACAGTTGTTGTGCCAGGCATGGTGGTATATGCCTTTAGTCCCAGCACTTGGAAGGCAGATTTCTGTGAGTTCAAGGCCAGCCTCTCCTCTACAAAGTGAGTTCCAGGCCAGCTGGAGCTACAGAGAGACCCTGTCTCAAAAAGACCAAAAAAAAAAAAAGATTACAGTTGCTAGGGCTGGAAAGATGGCTCAGTGGTTAAGAGCACTGGCTGCTCTTTCCAGAGGACTGGGGTTTGGTTTCCAGTACCAACATGGTGGCTGGTGACTAACAACCAGGCATGACTCCAGTTCCAGGGGATGTGACAGCCTCTTCTGGCTTCCACAGGCACTACATGTACATGATACACTTAAATGTGGGCAAAACACTCAAGACATATAAAAATAAAAAAAAACAAAGAATTACAGCTGTTTTCTATACACCTGCCTTGTTGGCAACCTTTAACTTACTTATAACCCTTTTCTTGCAAACTATCTATTTTCCATTTCTCTGTGCTCCCTCTCACTGTACTAAGAGTAAGAGCAATGAGCAGAAACCTTGTCATCACCTGGATACTGTGCTACCTTGACATTTCCCCTGCCAAATAACCTAGTCCACAACTTCTGAATTCATTCTCACTCAAATTTTCAAGACACAGGCAGAATGTAGTCAGATTCTTGGCCAAATGTAGTATGAATGACCTCTAGCCTAGCTCCTGATACAGTCCTTGTTCTCCTTTGAAACCTCATGGACTGGGCCTCAATTGTCCACATTTCTACTAGCATTTTGATTTCCTAAACTGACCAGAATGGCCTATTAAGCCCTTTAATAGCATTTTAGGGCTCCTCTAGCCTGCAACTTCAAACTTCTACATTCTTTCCTCAAAAAAACTCCAAAGGCCTATAAACCACATTTTTCAGGCTTATCACAGCAACAGCCCCTGTCCTCAGAACCGCTGTTTTTTTGTTTTTTTTTTTAATCTTTCTGTGCATTTATTATCACCATCGTGGGGGGGGGGTGAATTACAAAGAAACGAGCACCCAGTACCTAGCTCCGCACCACTCAGCTCCGCAAGAACCAACTTTCTGTATTTTTCTCACTGCTATGACCAAATACCTGACAAAAAGCAATCCAAGGTGGAATGGTTTAATTTGGTTTACAGCTTGAGGTGATATAGTCCTCATGGCAGGGGAGGCATGGTGGCAAGAGCATGCGGTAGGTGGTTTCATTGCATCTGTAGTTGGGAAACAGAGAGATGGATGCAGGTGCTCAGCTGGCTTGCTCTTTTATTTGTTTTCTGATTTAGTCTGGGATCCAGCCCATGGGATAGTGTCACCCACATTCAGGATCAGTCTTCCCTCCTCAGTTAAACCTCTCTGGAAACTCCCTCAAAGACACCGCCAGATGTGTATCTCCTGGGTGGTTCCAAACCTGGTTAACAAAGAAGATGTAAAATTGACATGCTCCTTTTTAAGTACTTGCAGCCTTTCAATATTTTTTTCCTTAGTGTTTCTAATCTTCCAAATTCTAAATTAAAAAAAAATTCTGATCTAATTTTAACTTAAAAAAATATTTTTGGGGCTGGAGAGATGGCTCAGCAATTAAGAGCACAGCTGCTCTTGCAGAGGACCTGGGTTCGATTCCCAGCACCCACATGGTGGCTATGAACCGTCCTTAACTCCAGTTGCAGGGGAATCTGAAGCCCTCTTCTGACTTTCGCAGCATTGCACAACACGGGTGCACTCACATATATGCAGGCAATATACTCATATATATAAAATAAAAAAATAAAACATTTTAAAAAATATTTTTGAGCCAGATATGGTGGTACATGCCTTTAATCTCAGCACTTGGGAGGCAGAGGTAAACAGATCTCTGTAAGATCAAGGCCAGCCTGATCTACACGGTGAGTTCCAGGGCCACCTGGGGCTACAAGATCCTATCTCAAAAAAGATTAAAAAAACAAAAAAAAACAAACCAAACAAACATTTTTGGAGACAAATTCTCAATTTCATTCTGTATTAGGTAGTCCTCAAAAAATAGAGAGAAATATATGAGAGCAGGTGGTCTGGGGGAGGTAGCTCTGTGGTGGAACACTTGCCTAGTATGTACAAGATCTTAGGTTTGATCCCAACCAATTAAGAAAAATAAAAATGTGGCTCAGTGTGATGGCACATATCTTTAATCCCAGTACTCAAGAGGCAGAGGCAGGCAGATTTCTGTGCAGTCCAGGCAAGCCTGGTCTATATAGTGAATTTCAGGCTGGGGCAACAGGGAGACCCTGTCTCAAAATAAAAAAAGAGAAAAACTTGAGGATTAAAAAATAATAAAATAATGTATAGGGGAACATTCTCAAGGACTACTCCTTTTTTTCTCACAGAACCTCCCCAAACTATTAGAATCAATAAATAATAGATATAAAAACCAGTTGTACTATGTACTAGCAGTGAATGATCTGAAATTAAAATTAAGAAAATTATATTTACAATACTCTTGAGAAGAAAATTTTTAGTAATAAATTAGCAAAAGAAGCCCAAGACTTGAAAACTACGATGAAAATACAATGCATCATTGAAGGAGGCTAATAATAGTCTAAATAAAGACTTACCCACCTATATTTTGATTTAGAAAACTAAAACTGTTAAGATAGCAATATAGCAGTACTCCTCATATTGATCTACAGAACCAGTTTCAGCCCCCTACCAAAGTACTTTTAGAGAATAAAATCTTAAAAACAAACAAACAAACAAACCTTTCTCACTTCAGCTTCCACCCAATGTCTGCTTTCTTTAGAGCAGAAACTGCAGAAATCGCCCATTACTTATGCTATTTCTCCTAAGCACACCCCAATCAAATTTTCACTCTACGATATTACAACAAAATCGCTAGTCAGGGGGCTGGAGAGATGGTTCAGTGGTTAAGAACATTTGCTGTCCTTCCAGAACCCAGGTTGGATTCCCAGCACCCACGTAGCGGCTAACAACTGTCCATAACTCCAATTCCAGGGGATCCAACATCCTTTTCTGGCTTCTGCACAGCATTGCATGCACGTTGCACATACATACAGCAAAACCCTCATACATATAAAATAAAAATAAATAAAATATTTAAAAAATCTCTAGTCAGAGTAAACTGATGACCTTCGCAATGTAAACCCCAAAGTTTCTCATTCTTGAACCTACTACTTGACATTATTTTACATTTTCTCCTAACTCATTTGCTACTAATGATCTTTAGTCAGATTTTTCATCACTATGACAAATACTTGAGGAAAAACAAAGAAGGAAAAATAGATCTGGCTCACAGTTTCAAAAATTTCAGCTTATGTAGGCCAGCACCATTGTTTTTAAGCATACTGTAAGGTGATGACATCATAAAGGAAGGACTTGGTAGAGGAAAGCTGCTTACCATGATGATAAGTAGGCTGGGGTCTGGGAAAAACAGAGTCCCTAAGGACATACCTCCAGTGACCTACTTCCTCTAGTTAAAAACCCATCATCTAAAGTTTCCAGCACCTCCCAAAGCAGGGCCATCAAGTGGGAACCAACTCTTCAACCCATGAGCCTGTAGGGGACATTTCCTATTCGAGCCATAATAGACTCCTTTTTTCTGTGTCCAGAGAATGTTAAAGTTTAAGTGTCTTGGAACTTAGTCCTTTAATCTCTTCTGTCAACACTAGCTCCCCAGGTTATCTCAAGCAGTGTCACAGCTTTAAATACAACGTATATATGGATGATCCCCAAATTCATATTGCCAGCCTAAATCATTCTCTTGCATTTAGACTCTAAAGCCTCTTCGCTTGGCTGTCTAATAGAAATCTCAAACTCCACAGAACAGGTCTCTGAGTTCCTGCTCTCACCCCACACTCAAATGCATTTCATTCATCATATTTCAGGTGACTCTTTCATCCTGTGATTTAGATCGAATACCTTACAGATCTTGCTAATTTCTTTTTCCTCTGACACATTTTCTTTAACAAACTAAACAAAAAAAAACCACAAAATATTCTTTTTACTTTCAAATAGATTTGGAGCACAACTCATTATTTTTACCTCTTTCACCCTGATCCAAGCATTGCTGGACCACTGCAAAAACCTCCTTAATTGGTTTCTACCTCCTTACTTTCAGGCTCTGCTAAGGACAATTCCCAGAATAATTCTATTAAATCAGAAATCAAATCATGTTTTTACTTTACTCAGATTTTTCTCAAAGTTAGGCTGGGGTCTGGGAAAAACAGTCCCTAAGGACATACCTCCAGTGAGTGACCTTACTTCAGTTAAAACCAAAACCCTTACACTGGCCTTACAAGGCATTCTATGGTCTGATCTCGTCTTTAAACTCATCTCCTGCTCCACACCTATCTCTTCCCTCTCTAGATTCCTGGCAGCTGGCCTTCTTGTCACTCCTGAAAGAGCTTGCCATAGAGCTTTTGCACACTTTATACCCTTTATCTAGAATACTCTTCCTTTGAAAGCAAATACTTCAGATTTTGATACAAGTGATACTTTCTTAAAATTCCCTAATTTTCTCCATAGTGCTAAGCATCTAACATACTTTATGTTTCACTTGAACTTCTGTCTTTTCATACTAGAATGTAAGCAGGGTAAGAATTATGTTGAATGTATCTAGTGCCAGGAACTTTAGCATAAGTAAACCTTGAATAAGTAAAAGTTTACTGAGAATGGGATAAATCTGTATGGATAAGGATATTCACAGAGGCATTATCTGGGATGACAAAAAAATGAACTGCTGCCGGGCGTGGTGACGCATGCCTTTAATTCCAGCACTCAGGAGGCAGAGGCAGGTGGATATCTGTGAGTTCAAGGTCAGCCTGGTGGTCTACATAGTGAGTTCCAGGCCAGCTGGGGCTACAGGGAGACCCTGTCTCAAAAAGACCAAAATAAATAAATAAATAAATAAATGAATAAATAACTGGGGACTGGAGAGATGGCTCAGTGGTTAAGGGAGCTTCCTGTTCTTCTAGAAGACCCAAGTTTAGTTCCTAGGACCTATACCAGGTGGCTCACAATTGCCTTTAAACTCTAGTTCCAGGAGATCTGATGCCATCTTCTGATCTCTTTAGGCACTCTCACACACAGCATATACTGACATAGATACACACATATGCATAAATAAAACACAAATAAATCTTTTAAAAATATTTTTATCATTTTTTATTTTATGTATATGAGTGTATTGCCTGCATGTATGTAAGTGTACCCATGTTGTACAATAACCAAGGAAGTCAAAAGAGGGCATATGATTCCTCGTAACTGGAGTTACAGATGATTGTTAGCCACCATGTGGGTGCTGGGAACTGATCCCGGGTCCTCTGCAAGAGCAGTCAGTGCCCTTAACAGCTGAGCCATCTCTCCAGCCTCCATAAAAATAAATCTTAAAAAAACTTACCATTCAAGTACTTAATATCTACCAATATTTCAGCTATATTAACTTTTTTTTTTGCTTTTTTTGTTTTATTGTTTTTTACAGGGTCTTCTAGTCACAGCCTGCCTGGAAGTCACAATGTGAATCAGGGTGGCCTTGATCTCACAAAGATCCACCTGCCTGGGCCTCCTGAGGGCTGGATTAAATGCACAGGCCACCACAACCGGCCAGATACATTAACATTTGATAATTAAAACC